TTACACCACTTCATTCTTCCTTGAGCCTCAACCCTTGTCTTTACTTCAGGAGGTGGCAGGCAGTAGGTGACGTGAACTGTCCAGATAGCATGGAAAGAGTTAGACTTGGCCTGGCATCATGCCCAGAGTGATGCCATACTACAGGACAGGCTTGCTGCTGGGAACAGGTGGACTGCAAACAGTGATCAAGTTGGCTGTTTTAATTGTAATAAAGGCTGACAGGGAAGAGAGCGCTGTCCTATTAAACACGTTTTCCAAAAGTGCATCTGGAAGCAGGCAGTGGTGCTCTTGAATAGAATGTCTGTAACAAAAAGGGTCCTTAGATATGTATAAGAATTTAATGCACTGGGATTATACAGTGAATAATTTAGCAGAGAGCAAAGAGGAAGAAGCTCAGTGCAGCTAGGAGTGAGAGCAGTGTGCCTTTGAGTCTGGAGATTTGGAGCTTACTGCTTTCTTAAGCCTCTTCTACAAATTGGACATTTAAGCTCTTCCAGACAGACAGCTTGTAAACGTTACCAGTCAAAAAGCACTCTGCCATTTATTCTATCATTTTCATATCACAAACATTCTGTTATGGATAAAAGATGGTAGAAAAAATGGCTTGGGGTTGCAAATGATATCATATTTTGTAAACTTTGTAAATTCTGTGTTTCAGACAGAACAATTGAATAATGAAAACTATGTGGAGCTAGTCCTACTTGTTGACACAGTGTACAGGTAGTCTTTGACTTACGACCATTTGTTCAGCTACTGTTTTGAAGTTATGAATGCGCTGAAAGAAGTGACTTACGACCAGTGCCCAAAGTTACAGCCGTTACAGTCCCCCCACGATCATGTGATCAAAATTCAGGTGCTTGGCAGCTCGCCCGCACTTATGACTGCAGGGGCGCTTCAACTCCTCCCATCTGCCTATCTCCACCCCTGTCGATGCCCTTCTGCCCTTCTGCCATCCTGCACTCCACCGGTCCAGCTGATCTTCACTGTCTTCTTGCTCCTGATGCTGACAAGGTGCACCCGGGGCTTCAGCTGAGGAAAAAGAAAAGCCAAAAGCTGCCACAGAGCTCGGTGCACCAAAAAGCCCCTTTGCAAAAAGCTCCTGGAGCATGACGTGCCAAAATGCCCCTTTCCACCTTTAGAATATTAATTCTAGAATACTAGAAAAAATAAATATTAGTATTGAGAAAAGGACAGTGGTCATATTTTTGAGAAAGGAGGGATTCTATGAGAAACACATTTAAGAAAGTATCAGCTTCTTTGGTTTTATAAGGAAAAAAGCAGAATGATTGCCCAACTTTAGGAGAATTATTGTGGTCTTTTTCAAATAGTTATATTACCATAAAAGTGATTTTCTTTACATTTTAAATTTGTTAACATAATGATTGTTTATCAGCGAAATAGCATGTAAATTAAATAAATAATAGTAATCAATAATAACTGCCCAAAATGAGTAGATCCTTGTATATTTTCTTCTACATGCTAGAATTATGTAAACTGTTATATTTTATTTATTATTTGGTCATGTGTTGCTTCTCTCTGCTAATGTAAGTAAACTGATTTTATGTTGCTTCCCAATTTTCAACATTATAGGTTGCTTTGCTAGGAGAGCTTTAGAAAACCCAACAACAGCTTTAGAAAATCTAACAACACTTAAAGACAAGAGGATACATTTGAGAATCATGTCTTCTGAAATAAATAGGGTGATAGCATATGGGGTAACTAACATAGACCCTGGACTTTGTAAGAATCTGGGACTGACTGCCTATGATGGCTGGGTGGATCAAGCAGCTGTTCATTCCTAGAGCTTTCATTTGCTAGTGTCTCTATCTAAATCTCTCTTAAACATTTGTACAGTGCAAATTTGAGCATATGGATGTCTAGGGGAAATTAACCAAATGCTTTCTGAATAACACTTGCCATTTTGCCTTTGGATAAAAAAAGTTATTGTTAATGAGGAACTACTGTTCTAGCTTTTTTAAATATTTAGTACTCCTATCTTGCTTTTTTCTTTGAATGATCAAAGAATTTATTCATATCATAATTTTTCCCCAGTTAGGATCTACAGCTATATGCTACCATAAGTAGCAAATTTAGGAAGTCTCTAATTTGAGAAATATATATTAACATTACTGATATTTTTTAATAAAACTTAAAAATGCTAGCTAGAAAGAGTGCTTCATATAATCTCTTTCATGTACTTGACTTTTATTTACCTCTTTTAAGAAGTTGGGAAGTCTGCCAGAAATTAATGGAGCTGGCATATTGTTTGTGAATACAGGGTAGTAGGCTTTGTGATCGGTAGAACTTTTGAAGTTTTAAGGATCTGGTTACAACGTTTAGGAGTTTGCAGTTGGGAATGCTGAAATTGAGGCTTTCTATAAATCTCAACTATGAAACAATATGCCCCCCCCGCCGCTTTTTTTGGTATTGTCACAAGTCACCTTTTGGAAAAGGATGGTGAAAAGCAAGCCAAGGTATTCTCTAACATAAATGTGACCTGAAAATAACAGACACAAATCTCAGTTTACAAGATCTCGTATTCAGACAAGTACACATGCACTGCAGCAACCCAGAACACCTGAAAAAGGAAACAGACCACCTATACATCTTCCAACAAAATGGATACCCACAAAATGTTATCTAAAGTGCCTGACCACTCAACCCACTACAGCACAACCAACACAAGCTATAAAAAGGATAACACTGCTATACATCAAACACATCTCAGAAATAACCAATAGAGTATTACAACCATACGGCATCACCGTAGCCCACAAGCCAACTAAAGTCCTCCAAAACATCTTAAGTAAACCAAAAGACCCAGTAGTCCAAGAAGAAAAAACAGGAGTCATCTACACCCTACAGTGTCAGGATTAAAACAGCCACTATGTAGGACAGTTAGTCAGAAGACTAGCAGAGTGCATCCATGAACACTAACTAGCAGTCAGAAGACACAATGAAAACTCCTTAATCTCACAACACATGGACAGAC